GCTGATATGCAAAAACAAATAATGGAAATAAACAAGCCAAAAGAAAGGAGGGTGCGGCCCGGGAACATGCTGCCCAGAACAATGGTCCCGGCCCTATCTGCTGATGTTTGAACTTGAAAATTATGTGTTGGGTAAACACTACAAATGGAGCCAAGTCAGGTTTCACCAGGTGAGAAGGCAACATCAGAAGGTGAGAAAGGAAATCCAAAATGTGAGAGAACAAGGGGTCAGCCTGAGACCTCGGAGGAATCAGAGAACCAGAGATCAGAACAAGGGGCTCCTCAATGACATTCCATCCCATGTGTGCTTGGAGGAGCCAACCCCAACCAGGGTTCCTCCAGATCTGGTCTGGGGGTGCAGTAGAAAAAAGTCAGGTGGCAGAATGTCAACATTGTGAGTCACTGACAGTTTGTAACAGTGTCACAACGTGAGAAACACTAGTCTGGATTAGGGAGATTAAAAAGAACCTGTACCCCCTTATATCAGATGGCCATGTCCCCTTTTATATCAGGAGACCTCATCAGAGGCCCCCTTTATGTCAGGTTCTTATCAGAGTGCCCTCTTAAATCAGGTGTCTCCATCAGAGTGCCCCCTTACATCAGAGTCCCCATCGAGAGTCCCCATTTGAGCCCACCTTACATCTAGATCCCAATCAGAGCCCCTCATTACATCAGATTCCCATCAGAATGCCCCCTTACATCAGGTGTAACCATCAGAGTGCCCCCTTACATCAGGTCCCCATCAGAGTGCCCCCTTACATCAGGTTCCCATCAGAGTGCCCCCTTAAATCAGGTTCCCATCAATGTGCCCCCTTACATCAGTTTTTCGTCAAAGTGCCCCCTTACATCAGGTGTACCAATCAGAGTGCCCCCTTAAATCAGGTTCCCATCAAAGTGCCCCCTTACATCAGGTGTTCCCATCAGAGTGCCCCCTTACATCAGGTTCCCATCAGAGTGCTCCCTTACATCAGGTTCCCATCAGAGTGCCCCCTTAAATCAGGTTCCCATCAATGTGCCCCCTTACATCAGTTTCTCATCAAAGTGCCCCCTTACATCAGGTGTACCAATCAGAGTGCCCCCTTAAATCAGGTTCCCATCAAAGTGCCCCCTTACATCAGGTTCCCATCAGAGTGCCCCCTTACATCAGGTGTTCCCATCAGAGTGCCCCCTTACATCAGGTTCCCATCAGAGTGCCCCCTTAAATCAGGTTCCCATCAATGTGCCCCCTTACATCAGTTTCTCGTCAAAGTGCCCCCTTACATCAGGTGTACCAATCAGAGTGCCCCCTTAAATCAGGTTCTGATCAAAGTGCCCCCTTACATCAGGTTCCCATCAGAGTGCCCCCTTAAATCAGGTTCCCATCAGCGTGCCCCCTTAAATCAGGTTCCCATCAGAGTGTCCCCTTACATCAGGTTCCCATCAGAGTGCCCCCTTACATCAGGTTCTCATCAGCGTGCCCCCTTAAATCAGGTTCCCATCAGAATGCCCCCTTACATCAGGTTCCCATCAGAGTGCCCCCTTACATCAGGTGTTCCCATCAGAGTGCCCCCTTACATCAGGTGTTCCCATCAGAGTGCCCCCTTACATCAGGTTCCCATCACAGTGCCCCCTTACATCAGGTGTTACCATCAGAGTGCCCCCTTACATCAGGTTCCCATCAGAGTGCCCCCTTACATCGGGTTCCCATCAGAGTGCCCCCTTACATCAGGTGTTCCCATCAGAGTGCCCCCTTACATCAGGTGTTCCCATCAGAGTGCCCCCTTACATCAGGTTCCCATCAGAGTGCCCCCTTACATCAGGTTCCCATCAGAGTGCCCCCTTACAGCAGGTTCCCATCCAACAGGAAGTGAGAGGAAATGTCTCCTAATTGGCACATTCCCTGTTAGATAGTATTACATTTTTGTTCAAAGTTTCTATTCATTTTGGATAAGTATATACACTCAGCACCAATACAAATTGGGACATAACACAGGGCTCGACAAATTCGAGGTGCCAGGTCGCCATGGCGACTAGAAATTGCATCCTGGCGCCTGGGATCACACACTGCCTCCCATTGACTTCAATGCAAAATGGCCTTGTATTGACTTCAATACAAAATCGCATTCCATTGACTTCAATGCAAAAACGTGTCTCATTGACTTCAAGGCAAAAATGTGTCCCATTGACTTCAATGCAAACATGCCTCCCTATGACCTCAGTGCAAAAATGCCTCCCATTTACTTCAATGCTAAACTGCCTCTCATTGACTTCAATACACAAATGCCAGGTCACCAGCATGACTAGAAATTGCTTCCTGGCGCCTGGGTTCACACACTGCCTCCCATTGACTTCAATGCAAAATCGCCTTCTATTGACTTCAATACAAAATCGCATCCCATTGATTTCAATGAAAAAAAAAAAAATCTCATTGACTTCAGTGCAAAAACGCATCCCATTGACTTCAATGCAAAAATGTGTCCCATTGATGTCAATGTAAAAATGCCTCCTATTGACTTCAATGCAAAAAACACCTCCTATTGACTAAAATTTGCTAAAACGCCTCCCATAGACTTCAATACAAAATCGCATCCCATTGACTTGAATACAAAATTGCATCCCATTGACTTCAATGAAAACAATGCTTACCTATGACTTCAATGCAAAAATGCCTCCTATTGACTTCAATGCAAAAATGCCTCCTATTGACTTCAATGCAAAAAACACCTCCCATTGACTAAAATAGCCAAAACAGCTCAGATTGACTTCAATGCAAAAATGCATCTCATTGACTTCAATGCAAAAACGCATCCCGTTGACTTCAATGCAAAAATGCCTCCCTATGACTTCAATGCAAAAATACCTCCTGTTGACTTGAGATGTTCAAAGCTTGGGATATTTGTTTATAACCTAACCCTGCTTTAAACTTCTCCACAGCTTTATCCCTGACCAGACAGGTCAGGGATAAAGCTGTGGAGAAGTTTAAAGCAGGTGTGTTCCTTGGCCTTCATGATGCTGTTTGTTCACTAATGTCCTCCAACCTCTGAGGGCTTCACAGAACAGCCGTATTTATACTGAGATCACTTGACACACATGTGGACTCTAAATACTAAATTGGGTGACTTCTGAAGGCAATTGGTTCCACTAGATTTTAGTTAGGGGTATCAGAGTAAAGGGGGCTGAATACAAATGCACTCCACACTTTTCCGATATTTATTTGCAAAAAATGTTGCAAACCATTTCTCATTTTCCTTCCACTTCACAATGATGTGCCGCTTTGTGTCGGTCTATCACATCCAATCCCATTAGTGACGTTTTTGGTTGAACATTTCAAGGGGTAGGAATACTTTTTCAAGGCACTGTATCCCAGTGAGTGCGTTTTATTACATCCATCCAACAAGTGGAACAAAAAAATATGCGTTGATCCTGCCAGAAATCCTGCGAGCTCCTAACCTACTGCACTCTCTGCCTCTGGACTGGTATCGGTTACCATTGTTCCGGCTCCCGCTGGTATGGGGAAGAGAGGGAGGTGTTCTGTAGTCCTAACACACTCCCTGTCCTAGTGTGTTTCAGCCGTTCAGCTATTTTCCACGCTGCTCAGTACGGTTGTCACCCTGGGACAGGAGGTGTGTTAACGGCAGAATCGATAGGTAAAAAGAAAGAAAACAGAAGCGTGAAAAAAGAAAAGTATTGCGGCCGCCACGTCTGAGGAACAGCAGTCTGTTTTCTGGGGTTTAGATACGCTCTAATCTTTGTAGCTCAGAACTCTGCAGCCAGCTGTTGTCAGGCCGGTAGAAGAACTATAAATCTGAGTATGACCCAGATGGAGATATCATTAGATCCTTAGAACATGCAAAGCAACAAAAACACATAAAAGTATATATGGGTCAACTAATGCCGTATAAAATATATGTCCTCGCTATCTGTAGCTCCGCCCCTTCTCACCCAAAGTCCCCCCCCCCCGCTGGTTGCATTTTATACCTTATTTATTTAATTCTTACCTTTTCCCAGTGTCTTGGTGGGAGAGGTCACATGACATGCTGGGTCCTAGTCCTCTTCTTTGGATCCTCTCCCGGTGGAGGGTGGTCAGCAATGATGCTGACATCAGCGCTACTCCCTGAATCACTACGTGGTCCTCAATTGATGCCCCTTTAGGATCCATGACACTCTGTACTCCCTGAATGTCCTCAGTCTTCCACACTGAATGAGAGGATCGTTGGCCACAAGGACACTCACTGTGCAACCTAAGGGGTTAATCCTTTATTTATATATATACACACATACACCATATTGACAAAAGTATTAGGCCCCCTGCCTTTCCACGCACATGAACTTTCATGGCCTCCCAGTCTTAGTCCGTAGGGTTCAATATTGAGTTGACCCCCGCCCTTTGCAGCTATAACAGCTTCAACTCTTCTGGGAAGGCCGTCCACAAGGTTTAGGAGGGTGTCTGTGGGAAGGTTTGGAAGAAAAGTCCAATGAACTCATTGGACTCCGTGGGCTTTTCATAGCATTCATCCCATTTTGAGGTGCTGGAAAGATATGGGAAGGTTTGACCATTCTTCCAGAAGCACATTTGTGAGGTCTCCCCGGACCCTACATTCACTATATCTGGTCTCCCCAGACCCTACATTCACTATATCTGGTCTCCCCGGACCCTACATTCACTATATCTGGTCTCCCCGGACCCTACATTCACTATATCTGGCCTCCTTGGACCCTGCATTCACTATATCCGGTCTCCCAGGACCCTGCATTCACTATATCCAGTCTCCCCGGACCCTGCATTCACTATATCAGCTCTCCCCAGACCCCGCATTCACTATATCTGGTCTCCCCGGACCCTGCATTCACTATATCCGGTCTCCCTGGACCCTGCATTCACTATATCTGCTCTTCCCAGACCCGGCATTCACTATATCTGGTCTCCCCGGACCCCGCATTCATTATATCCGGTCTCCCCGGACCCTGCATTCACTATATCCGGTCTCCCCAGACCCTGCATTCACTATATCCACTCTCCCTGGACCCTGCATTCACTATATCGGGTCTCCCTGGACCCTGCATTCACTATATCCGGACTCTCCGGACCCTGCATTCACTATATCCGGTCTCCCCGGACCCTGCATTCACTATATCCGCTCTCCCCGGACCCTGCATTCACTATATCCGGTCTCCCTGGACCCTGCATTCACTATATCCGGTCTCCCTGGACCCTGCATTCACTATATCCGGTCTCTCCGGACCCTGCATTCACTATATCCGGTCTCTCCGGACCCTGCATTCACTAAATCCTGTCTCCCCGGACCCTGCATTCACTATATCCGCTCTCCCCGGACCCTGCAGTCACTATATAACCGCTCTCCCCGGACCCTGCATTCACTATATCCGCTCTCCCCGGACCCTGCATTCACTATATCCGGTCTCCCCGGACCTTGCATTCACTATATCCGGTCTCCCCGAACCCCGCATTCACTATATCCGCTCTCCCCGGACCCCGCATTCACTATATCTGGTCTCCCCGGACCCTGCATTCACTATATCTGGTCTCCCCGGACCCCGCATTCACTATATCCGGTCTCCCCGGACCCCGCATTCACTATATCCGCTCTCCTTGGACCCTGCATTCACTATATCTGGTCTCCCGGACCCTGCATTCACTATATCTGGTCTCCCGGACCCTGCATTCACTATATCCGGTCTCCCCGGACCCCGCATTCACTATATCCGCTCTCCCTGGACCCTGCATTCACTATATCTGGTCTCCCGGACCCTGCATTCACTATATCCGGTCTCCCCGGACCCCGCATTCACTATATCCGCTCTCCCTGGACCCTGCATTCACTATATCTGGTCTCCCGGACCCTGCATTCACTATATCTGGTCTCCCCGGACCCTGCATTCACTATATCCGGTCTTCCACAGTACACAGAACATGGAAATGCAATTATTTTCATAACTATAAACTGATAAATACCTTTTCTCATCAGCAGTATAGAGCAATCCTGTGACTTCTATCAGTGTACAGCTGAGCACATGTTAAAGTTTATAGGAGGAGTTTTCATTCTGCTGTAGGAGGATGCAGAACCCCTGACCTCTGTCTGCACAGTGCTGATTGGCTCTGTGCTGATCACATACACCCTCCCAAGAAAAAAAAAAACCTCTCTAGCAATACACACCCAACTGAGCATGTACAGATTGACTCCACAGGATGTGTCTTATCAGGAGATAAGAGGGGGACACTGGAAGAAGGGGAGGATCAGAGGAGATAAGAGGGGGGCACCGGAAGAAGGGGAGGATCAGAGGAGATAAGAGGGGGGCACCGTAAGAAGGGGAGGATCAGAGGAGATAAGAGGGGGGCACCGTAAGAAGGGGAGGATCAGAGGAGATAAGAGGGGGGCACCGGAAGAAGGGGAGGATCAGAGGAGATAAGAGGGGCGCACCGGAAGAAGGGGAGGATCAGAGGAGATAAGAGGGGGGCACCGGAAGAAGGGGAGGATCAGAGGAGATAAGAGGGGGGCATCGGAAGAAGGGGAGGATCAGAGGAAATAAGAGGGGGGCACCGGAAGAAGGGGAGGATAAGAGGAGATAAGAGGGGGACACTGGAAGAAGGGGAGGATCAGAGGAGATAAGAGGGGGGCACCGGAAGAAGGGAGGATCAGAGGAGAAAAGAGGGGGGCACCGGAAGTAGGGGAGGATAAGAGGAGATAAGAGGGGGGCACCAGAAGAAGGGGAGGATCAGAGGAGATAAGAGGGGGGCACCGGAAGTAGGGGAGGATAAGAGGAGATAAGAGGGGGGCACCAGAAGAAGGGGAGGATCAGAGGAGATAAGAGGGGGGCACCGGAAGTAGGGGAGGATAAGAGGAGATAAGAGGGGGGCACCAGAAGAAGGGGAGGATCAGAGGAGATAAGAGGGGGGCACCGGAAGAAGGGAGGATCAGAGGAGATAAGAGGGGGGCACCGGAAGAAGGGGAGGATCAGAGGAGATAAGAGGGGGGCACCAGAAGAAGGGGAGGATCAGAGGAAATAAGAGGGGGACACCGGAAGAAGGGGAGGACAAGAAGAGATAAGAGGGGGGCACTGGGAGAAGGGGAGGATCAGAGGAGATAAGAGGGGGGCACTGGGAGAAGGGGTGGATCAGAGAAGACAGGATCAAACAGCCTTTTTACACAATGCAGAGGATTAACCCCTTAGGTTCCACAGTGAGTATAACAAGCTGGTTTTACTGCATCTACAGACTGATTGGACTGTATTGGGAATTGCAATGAAAACCAGATCCTGCTGTGATTGGACGACGGGGGGAGTCATTTATCCTGTGCTGGCTGTAATTGGAGGACATTATTAATTGCACCAATTCATCTAAAGCCATAAATCTGAGTGAATGTACAAAGGGTTTGATTTCTGTACCATGTGCCCGAGGTGGTCCCTTCCTCAGCCCAAGTCCTCCTATAGAAGCAGATAACTGCCATTATTAAGGATCCAGCTGGTCATTACATAGCCGGGCCCTCTGATTCCTCCTGCACTCAATTGTATGGTCACTGTACTGTCTGCCTTCATTTTGTACAGCACTGAGCAAACTGTCGGTGCGACATAAATCCTGTATAATAATATGTAATAAAGTTTTACAATACAAATGACTGTCTTCTATGGAGGCTAATTGTAGCGAAGTCAACGCGGGTGTTTGTTTCTGGGCGCCCTCTTGTGGATCTGATACAAAAAACATTCTGTAAGTTTTGCAAATTTATGGGAGGTATTTATTTATCTATTTCAGGTACTTATATAGCACCATCAATTTATACAGCACTTTACATATATATTGTACATTCACATCAGTCCCTAACCCTCAAGGGGTGTACAATCTAAGGTCCCTAACCCTCAAGGGGCGTACAATCTAAGGTCCCCAACCCTCAAGGGGCGTACAATCTAAGGTCCCTAACCCTCAAGGGGCGTACCATCTAAGGTCCCTAACCCTCAAGGGGCGTACAGTCTAAGGTCCCTAACCCTCAAGGGGCGTACAATCTAAGGTCCCTAACCTTCAAGGGGCGTACAGTCTAAGGTCCCTAACCCTCAAGGGGCGTACAATCTAAGGTCCCTAACCTTCAAGGGGCGTACAATCTAAGGTCCCTAACCCTCAAGGGGTGTACAATCTAAGGTCCCTAACCTTCAAGGGGTGTACAATCTAAGGTCCCTAACCCTCAAGGGGTGTACCATCTAAGGTCCCTAACCCTCAAGGGGCGTACAATCTAAGGTCCCTAACCCTCAAGGGGTGTACAATCTAAGGTCCCTAACCTTCAAGGGGCGTACAGTCTAAGGTCCCTAACCCTCAAGGGGCGTACAATCTAAGGTCCCTAACCCTCAAGGGGCGTACAATCTAAGGTCCCCAACCCTCAAGGGGCGTACCATCTAATGTCCCTAACCCTCAAGGGGCGTACAATCTAAGGTCCCTAACCCTCAAGGGGCGTACCATCTAAGGTCCCTAACCCTCAAGGGGGGTACAATCTAAGGTCCCTAACCCTCAAGGGGTGTACAATCTAAGGTCCCTAACCTTCAAGGGGCGTACAGTCTAAGGTCCCTAACCCTCAAGGGGCGTACAATCTAAGGTCCCTAACCCTCAAGGGGCGTACAATCTAAGGTCCCCAAACCCTCAAGGGGCGTACCATCTAATGTCCCTAACCCTCAAGGGGCGTACAATCTAAGGTCCCTAACCCTCAAGGGGCGTACAATCTAAGGTCCCTAACCCTCAAGGGGCGTACAATCTAAGGTCCCTAACCTTCAAGGGGTGTACAATCTAAGGTTCGTAACCTTCAAGGGGCGTACAATCTAAGGTCCCTAACCGTCGAGGGGCGTACAATCTAAGGTCCCGAACCCTCAAGGGGTGTACAATCTAAGATCCCTAACCCTCAAGGGGCGTACAATCTAAGGTCCCTAACCCTCAAGGGGTGTACAATCTAAGGTCCCTAACCCTCAAGAGGTGTACAGTCTAAGGTCCCTAACCCTCAAGGGGCGTACAATCTAAGGGCCCTAACCCTCAAGGGGTGTACAATCTAAGGTCCCTAAGTCACATTCATACATACACATATTAAGGCCAATTAACCTACCATATCTTTGGAGTGTTGGGTACTCTGATGTATAGGGGGGATGCTTATGTAAAGGGGGAAAACTGGAGTACCCTGACTGAGAAAACCCACGCAGGCACAGGGAGAACATGTAAACTCCAGGCAGGTGGTGCCGTGGTTGGGATTCGAACCAACAACCAGGGGTGTATTTATCACAAGGCATTTGCCTAGGGCGGCATTTTTCAGGGGGGAAGCAGCAGCTTTCACGGGGGCAGCAGCATTTTTCAAGGGGGCAGCGCCATCCCCCCAAAAGAAGGGATGGAAGAAGGGACACACGCAGCACGGGGACCAGGTGGGATCTGAGAGAGGCTGTGGGCTGCTTTATGGGGTATGCAGAGCCCGACTCGTTCCCGGGGATGTCCTGAGCCGTGAAGGTGAGTGTCTTCTCTCTCGGGGGGGGGGGGGGGGGGGGAGAGGGTTGCCAGTGTATGGGGGGCGGTGGTAGTGGAAGGCTCTCTCAGGTGGGGTGGGGGGGCTGGGGTGCTGCTGGTCAATGTCAGGCTCTCTTCGTGGGGAAGGGGGGTGTTGGTCTGTGTCAGAGTCTCCATAGGACGGGGGAGACAAATTTTGTGTTGCCTAGGACAGAAGTGCTAACCACTTAGCCACTGTGCTGCCAAATTTGACCCCTTGTTACAGGTTTTTGAGGTGTAACTGTTTGAGCCCCAATCTGATGTGATGGGGGAACTCTGATGTCATGGGGGGATCGTGATGTGATGGGGGGATTCTGATGTATATGGGGGATTCTGATGTGATGGGGGCACTCTGATGTGATGGGGGGAATTCTGATGTATACAGGGGATTCTGATGTATAGGGGGGATGCTGATGTGATGGGGGGACTTTGTGGTGATGGAGGCTCTGATGTATACGGGGGATTCTGATGTGATGGGGGCACTCTGATGTAATGGGGGTACTTTGTGGTGATGATGAGGGGGAGTTCTGATGTGATGGGGGCACTCCATTTAATACGGCTACTTTGTTGTGATGGGGGGGGGGGGGGGGGCTCTGATGTATAAGGGGGATTGTGATGTGATGGGGGCACTTTGTTGTGGTGATGGGGGGACTCTGATGTATAGGGGGGATTGTGATGTGATGGGGGCACTTTGTGGTGATGGGGGGGACTCTGATGTATAGGGGGGATTGTGATGTGATGGGGGCACTCTGAAGTTATGGGGGCACTTTGTGGTGATGGGGGGACTCTGATGTATAGGGGGGATTCTGACATGATGGGGGCACTTTATAGTGAAGGGGGGACTCTGCTGTATAGGGGGGATTGTGATGTGATGGGGGTACTTTGTGGTGATGGGGGGACTCTGATGTATGGGGGGTTTGTGATGTGATGGGGGCACTTTGTGGTGATGGGGGGACTCTGATGTATGGGGGGATTGTGATATGATGGGG